CTGCTGTGGTTATTACCAAATGTCGAACCGCATCATGCCCCATTGATACACCGAGTTTTTTTGCCATTTCACCAACAATTTTTTGAAATCCTTTGTTTTTTAATGTAAATGAAGTAAATGGAACCATACTCAAACAAATCATCTCAACAAGTCCTTCTTGAAAAGTACTTGCATCCATAGTGATTGTAACTTTTGATGATGTAAAATATGTGCTCATGTTTTCTTGTACAGTTTTTATTTTTTTTTTAGATGGCGTGGCATCATTTTCATTACCACGTTTTTTATCTGAGGCAGCTTTATCGTTTTCATCTTTTTGTTTTACTAACTCATCATAGATTTTAGGATGATTACGTTTCACATGACGCCAAAGATTAAACTTTTTTGACACACTTGTTCCCATTGCCTGAAAATTGCATTGCACATCATCATTTTTTAGCTTACATCTAGCTGACTTTTTTTGTCCATTTTCTTCTTCAAACTCAAATATATTTTCCAGATCATTTTTCAAAAAGCGACTATCGATTATAGGTGATTGACACAAATTTTGGTTAGAAGTCATATCCGGACCTAATTTAATTTTAATTAAAAATTTAAATTTTGTTAAGAAGTAATGTATTGCTTTTTAAATTAAAAATTATATTATTTAAAAAATTCTCATAAGAATCTTACCTTTGATGTGCGATTACGAATTTACGATTGCAGAAAAAAAGATTAGTGAAAAAGTCAACTAGTGTTTACGAATGGCGTACAAAAGGAAGCCATTGCTTTGCTATGAAAGATTCTAAATATCATAACAAAAAAAATTTTTTGAGTTGAACTAAAAGATACAAAATATTAAAAAATAATATTTTTTTTATTTTTTAACTAAATAATTTTTTTTATTATTGGAGCATGGAGCACTTAAAATTTGTGTGCTCCGGCTCCGCTCACGCTCCGACCAAAATATGGTTGCTCCGATTGCTCCGCGCTCCAGCTCCGCTCCAAAGCCCTGTTAGAAAATATCAAAGTTTAGCTAGAAATTACACCAAATTGGTGTTGTGAACATTTTATATCCGAGTGATTTTTATTCAGTGAATTTACGCGGAAACGAATAACTGCAATCGACCTGATCGTTAACCATTTGTGAGAAATTTACTTTTAGTCTTTTGTTAATTAAAATTTAATTGAGGAGTACGGAGTGTTACGGAAAAGCATAGAAAATAGGAAAGGCGGGTTAAAATATTTGCACATTTTTACCTGAAAAAAGAGAGTTTTGGCCCTTTGAAGGTGTTATTTATAAAATTAAATTTCAATTGTAATCGCGGACGATTTCGAACAAAGGCATCCGTCTTCAAAGCAACTCTGGACCACCGAAAAAGCAGAGCGAACATAGCGAAGTGACGTTGATAATTTTTCGATTCAGTAAGGATGTACAAGTTATTAGCAAAACGACAATGGTAAAATCATATTAGAATGATTTTATGTGCATTAAAAATTAACGGTTAAAAGTGAAAAAAGCGTGAACGCGAACCCAAAAATAACATTCCCTTTTCTTTTCCATTTTTGTTCACCAAAACTAAAATTTTTTCAAAATTATTAAGGTTGTTCAATTTTATAATAGCTATTTATTTTTTATAAAAATAAATATTTAATTGAAAACAGCACTTCTTAAATAAAAATGCCTTATAATTTCTTTGGCTGTGCTAGGGGTAAAGGTAGGTTCTGATTCTCACTTGGGGACCATTACTGTTCTGGATACAACCTTTGTGTAAGATAATGCTAAAATGGTCTTGTACGCTGCCACGGCCGAAAAACCGAGATGATCGTTGTAATATAGCAAAAAATTTCAGCGTTTTTTCTGCATTACTACATTTTCAGATTAAATTATCGATTGCCTTCACGTACAATTAATTACTAAAAAATTAATTTGTGTATAATATTTTTAATTGTTATTCTTACTCCAGTTTGTCGGTTAAAAGTCTAATATTTTTAATATTTGTTGAAATTTAATGAGTTAGCTACCAGCACTGCTAATGTAAGGTTGAATTACTGATGTTTTCCACGGCAAATTTGTAAGACCGACATTTTAACGTCAACGTTCTTGGTAAAATAAAATAAAATACTGATAAACTGATTCTACCGCTGAATTCTGTAAAATCTTGCTGATGTCAAGAGTGTCCAACCATCGGACAATTAATACCACCTCCCAATCAGACATCTAGAACATATAATCGTTGTCAGTATTCATTACCAGTTGAGAATCATACTTTCATGCTTTTGCTTGGTAAATAATTTCAAGGTTTTTATATATGATGTGTTACATTCTCTGAAAAATTATTCTTTTTTGATAAATAAAATGCAAAACTCATAGCCTTTCCGATCCTAGAGAAAACGACTTATAAAAAAGCAAAAACAGATTTAGTGCAAAAGTTTAGCAGGAATTTAAAAAATTGAGCGGGTGATTATTTTGGACCGGAAATATGTTATCTGATAAATACTTATGGAATAATTTAGTTTGAGATTTGTACATTGCAAATTTTTTAAATTATTCTTCATTTTCATGGGTAGCCAGTTTAGGGAAAGATTTGGAGATATGTTTTCCTATCAACGTACAACCTTATAGTAAATGCGATCAAGCATTATTGCAGCTAGAGAGTGATTCTAATCAATTTTCAATTATTTTCGTGGCATTGTTGTGGTCTGATTGTACATCACTCAACTAGATTGAAAAAATAAACAAAAAATAAGTATGAGTAAGAATCATCAAATCTCTTGGTTGTTATGTTACAGCGGCATTCATCTTTAAATTGATGCTATATAAATATCTTGAATTATTGCAGAATTATTGAAAATATTGCCTAAGTTTAATTATATTAAATTGTTATTAAATCGACAAGAATAATACAAACACATAAATTTGAGGTTTTGGATATTTATATTAAATTTCATTCTTCGGTGAAATCGTTCCGGGTATCGTCGAATTTGGGATTTTGTAACCATGATCTTTCTGTTTAAAAATTCTTCATTTTTAAGTTTTGAATTAAATTAAAATCATTTTCGGCAGAATAAATAAAATTTGTTTAAAAACAATCTTGTCATAAAGATTCAAATGATCGTTAATAATTTCATGAGCGCTTAGAGAACCTTTTTTGCAATTAAAATAAATATAGCATGTAGCTTTATTTATATAAAAAAAAACATTGTAGCATGTTTTTGTATATATAATATATTTATAATATATATATACTCTCGAAACAAAACAATGCAAATTATAAATAAAAACACAAATTACAGAAAGCGATGTAGAAGTGACTACACAGACCCTAATTGAACTACCCTTTAACAAGAAAAAATAGCATTTAATCTATCTACACAGCTTCCCGCCACGCTCACAGTCGTGCATGTTCAATGCAATCATTTCATTATAACAGTAGGTACTTGTAATTAAGATATTGTGCACATGCATACACGCGTGCTGAATTTGGTCTACAATTCAACGAGGCTAAATCAGCGATTGACTGATTAAACTCTAATCTAAAGTTCAATGACAACCTAGAAAATGAATGTTTGATACAGGATGTAAGGTGAGTAGCCTGATATGTAAAAACGGTTATTGTAATAAAGAGAGTGAATGAAAAAACCAGAATGAAAAAATTGAAATAAACGGTTATTGGATAGATGAATGAAATTAAAATAAACAAATTCAACAAGAATTGATGTAAGGTTTCATTTACTCTACATTTATTCACGTGTTTACACAAACAATACAAAATATAATAGCGATATTTGGTTACCAGGTAAGAACACGCACATGTAAGTTTGCCTGTATTCACGTACTGTCACAATAAGTACGTAAAATTAATAGATGAGAGTAATTAAATAAATGTTAAAATAAAATTAACGATATAAACGATGAAAAACGTACACTGTGCCGTGTTAATCAAAAGAAAGAGTAGTGATCCAAATAGGATAAATAACGGCTCAGCTGAGACTTGAATGCGTTTAGAATGTTAAATTGTTTATTTCTTTTATAGAGTTAGAAAATGGTTAGAAACAAAGTTTAACCAGATTTTAGGCCTAGTAACGGAGAGGCCGTTGGAGATAAGTTTCAAACCAATAAATAGAGTATAAAAAATGCAAGGATTTCGTTAAAAGAGATTTTGACAGCGTCATTAAAGATAAAAAACAGTTGTTAAACACTCTTATGCAAAATCTGCGTTTGATTTTTCTGGCCCTTTTTTTTGAAACTCTTTACCTCCTTTTCTAACTATTTCTCCGTCACTTACGAAGTTCATAGCCGATTTCAAGACCGGTCTGTTTTTGAAATTCATTGAGAAGCGCTGTTTAACATCGCGGAAATGGTGCTTCACAAACTAATTGATTGGTTGGTTGGTTAATTGATTGATTAAATATTTTTAGAGTCTTAAGCTAAATCTGCCTTTGCTTTTTTTGAGCTTTACCTTCTGGAACTTTTTACCTTCTATACTTTTTAATATTCATAACGGATCTCAAGACCTATCTGTTTGCGAAATTCATTAAGGCGTGCTGTTGAATATCGCAGAAAACGGCAGTTTAGAAGTAAATTTATTGATTGATTGATAAGCACTAAGCTAAAAACTTACTTTTAATTGCAAAAATCGATTTTATTTGACTCACTTTTTCTTAACTCTCTACCTCCTTCTTTGAATACTTTTTCATCACTTACGAAATTCAGGGTGGATCTCAAGACCCACCTGTTTGCAAAATTCATTGAGGAGCGCTGTTGAACATCACGGAAATAGCGCTTTATAAACTGATTGATTGATTGATTGAACAACCGACTGGTAATTCTGTTTTATTTTTTCAGTTTTAAAACAGTCAAATGAAATTAAATTAAAAATATTCAATCTCGAAAAAATCATGTGACATTATTTTGTTGCAGTACCTGCCATATATTCATATAATATTACCGCATAAAATATATATATATATAATTAATAATACAATATTCATATATTTTTATGCGGAATCTACTACAGTCTGTTACGACATTGTATTATTATTCTATTCTATATCTAAAGTAGCCATATATATATATATATATATATAGAGAGAGAGTATATACATTCTATATATATATATATATATGAAATATTCTATATATATAATAGTAGCTTATATATATGTAAATATAAATAAATATGTATATACTTATATATGTATAATAGTATAACAATAATAATAATGTTGATGATGATGATGATGATAATGATGATGATATCGACATGGTAGTCATTGCTGTGTATCTGCGTATAAAAAAGAGAGACGTTCTGCGGTGCTTACTTCGCAAGACGTGAGACGAGATGGAGTCGTCCCACCGCAGTTTTAGATGTTTGTTTTTCTTTTGCGCTTTTATTTTAGTGGAAAAAATTCATGGAAATACCCTGCGAAGGCAAAATCCCTTCAATTTTGAGCAAGATTATGACGAACCGACTTGTGGCTATGAGGTTTTCTTTGTTTTTGTTATTTATAAAACTCAATCAATAGAATAGTATAATTTACATAACACATATATACAGAATACACAATACAATATTACATTCATTAATAAGAAATATATATTGGATATGATACAATAATATTATTAAAAATTATTATTTGTTGTTCAAACTCAATATTGAATATTGCAGTTAGATGTTTGTTAGTTGAAGTGTTGATTTCTGTTACTTAGTTAGTAATTAAATTAGTTTAGTTAAGAAAAATAATTGTGGCTATATAAATACAGATGCTGGCTATATGGTGTGCATTTTCAACGAATTCATAATTTATTACATGTTACTTATTAAAATAAAATTTTTATTACTAAAATTAATTGAATTTTAATTTTAAATTTAAATAAATAGGAGTAGAGTAGCTAATAAATATAATAAACACAACAGCATACACTTGCTTATAGTTTTTCAAAGTATTGTTTATTTAAATAATAATTATTTATAATTATTTAATTAGCAATGTAACTTGGGTCAGCCGGATATGATAAATGTGCACCTTGTTCCTCACACCCATGACGATGCTGGATGGCTGCAGACTGTTGATGGATACTATTATAACAGTTTACAAGAATTAAATCACATCTCAAATATAAAAATATTTATTTATTTTATTAAATTTATTAAGCTAACTAGATATCTATGATATTGCATTTGTAACTATATATCCCTTTAATTTAATTTTAGAATTTTCACTGTGTGATTCATTTTCTCATTGTTTTATTTTAATGAATTATTTCATATGAGTAAATTGTACTATTGTCATAGCTTTGTATTTTATGTTTCTGAATTGATTTTAAATTTTGATTGTTATTTTTTTTAGCTGTGCAGTACATTTTGGACACTGTCAATTTTGAATTGCATGCTGATCCAACAAAGAAATTTATTTATGTAGAGATGGCTTTTTTCTACAGATGGTGGAATGAGTTATCTGATCATATGAGACATGCCATTAAAAGAACTGTTGACAAAGGTTATCTTTGAATTCAATTAAGTGAGAGGATTGAATTTATAGTTTATGATTTCTAAAAACTTATTTGAAAATTTTCTATCTGTCTATCATCCAGCTTTAACTATTCACATTTTTTTTTCAGCATAACTAGATTATTTGCAGCTGCAATCAGTTCGCTTACCTTTGCAATTACCTCATTTTGAAAAATAATTTAATGAATTTGGCATTAGCTAAAACAGCCACTCTTGTTTGGTAACTTGTACAATCTATTACTTTTTTTTCATTTACACTAAAAATTTTCTACAAAGTGTCAGACGTCCTATTCATCTTTGTCATCATTATAATGTTGTTACAACCACGTTTACTGTGCTTTATTGATACAGGTCAGTTAGAGTTCATATTGGGAGGTTGGAGCATGAACGATGAGGCTTGCACTCATTACTCATCCATCATCGACCAGCACACCATCGGTTTCAAATTTCTTCTTGACACTTTTGGAAAATGTGGAATACCAAAAATTGGCTGGCAAATTGATCCTTTTGGTCATTCCAGAGAACAGGCTTCCATCTTTGCCCAGGTTAATTTTTTAATATATTGGTGTGTTTGCATCTATCAAAAACCGTGGTGATCTTTCTCATTATCATTACTTATTTGAAATTGTTATTAGTTGATAATTGCATTCATTTCATCTTATTTTTTATGAAATAATTTCACATGCAAATGATATTTAATAACTAAGTATGCTCATTGATTTTTGTTTGACTGAGAATGAGTTGCAACAAATTTCCTCTTGATAGATTTTTATCTATTTGATTAATCAAATAAAATTTAATGTATATGTTACTTTCATTTTTTTTTTAAACAAACAAACACAAATAGATATATTTTTTGATGAATTAATAAATGTTTTTCTAATAACAGTTTGGATTTGATGGCTTGTTTTTTGCACGAATTGATTACCAAGATTATGGCGAGAGAATAAAAACAAAGACATTAGAACACATGTGGTTTGCCAGTCCAACTTTAGGTTGCCTTGGTTTCTGCTAGTCAAAATTGTAATCATCTCATTAACATTTAAACCCAATTTTTTTGAGTATTCTAATAGATTCATTTTCTTTATCTTAGTGTGACTTAAACTATACATTCATACCTTTTGCCAATCTTGTCTTGTTATCTCTGGAGACGAATGGTTGTTCTCAACGTTTGTTTACATTATTTTGAGAAGTTTATTTCATCTAGGTGATCAGGCCTCGTTGTTTACTGGGGCTCTTTATGGTATGAGCTACTCTCCACCACCTGGCTACTGTTTCGAATGTGGAGACTCACCAGTCAGGGTACGTCATCTGGTTGATTGGACATAAAATTGATTTCTGATATTATGATACTGAACATGTATATGTAAAGTGTTGGTGTGTGTGCAGTGCATCTATAAGATTTAAACAACAGTTGAAAATAAATTTTCTTACTGTAGATTGAAAAAACTTAAAAAAATTTGCTGTTGCAACAAAAAATTCATCTTTTTTTTGCTTGAGGAGTCATGTCACAGACTGCATTCAAAGCATATCAGAAGAATATTTATGTGCCAAAAATCAAAGATGCCTTGATCTGCATATTTTGTTCTAGTGTCCTGTAACACAGTTTCATCAGGCAGACTGGTTATGTGTGACATGGACAGAGTTGATTGGAAAGAATCTGATAAGCTAAAGATAGGAAATCGTGGCATAATAAAATCTTAATGACCTGATAGAAGTGGCATGTGCCATTTGGAAAAAAACTGATAGACTGCTTCAGTAGTATAATGATGATAACGACGATGATGGTTATATTTGTAAATGTTTATATATTTATATGTACGTACATTTATCTTTTATAAATTCTACATATTTAATGTGTGTAGGTTGAATTAATGAATTAATATTAAATTTTTGTTTGTGGTTTAGCTTTATGATTAAGCAGATGTTTTCCTCTATGATAACTGACTGAATAGCTTTGAAGTTTTACGTATATATATATATATATATATATATATATATATATATATATATATATATATATATATATATACACACATATATATATATATATATTATCAATGTGTTTACAAGTCATTTCTAAACTGTTCACATGCTGGTTTGTTTCGAAAGGTTAATATATCGTGCATGATTTTTTTAATTTTTGTTGTTGTTTATTTTATAACTTTTCAATAAACTTGAGGCATAGATTTTCAGATTTTAATCTGAATCACGCATTCCTAAATAAGTACAAAAACCAAAAATTGAAAACTGAAAATTTCTTTATGTGAGATCGTTAAATTAGGCAACAGATTGTCAATTTGTGATTTGTCAGATCAATTTTTATAGCGTTGGTTAATTAATCTTTTTTGGCTTAAGTAGGCTTACTTTTTAAAGGTTGAGATATCTGTATAATCGGCGTTCGGGTTTTGACCAATTGAAATTTGAAACAACATAATTGCAGGACGATCCCCGCCTGGATGATTACAATGCAGATCAGAAATTAGCCAAGTTTCTCTCAGACGCCAAAGAACAGGTTAACAGTTATTCATTTTTTCAATCGTTTATTGTTTTAATTTTCAATTCAAATTTTGATGATTGTAAACTGATGGATATATGTTGCAGGCAAAATATTTCACAACCAATCACATCATTTGGACAATGGGCTCAGATTTTCACTATTCAAATGCCAGGATCAACTTTAAAAACATTGACAAGCTCATTAAGATGGTCAACGCTCAGGTTGTCACTTCTTTTAATGTAGATACTTAAAGTTAGGCTAAATGAATTTCGTACAGAAATTTTTTTTTTCAAAAGTTGTTCTGAATTATCATAGTGTTAATTTTTCTCTCAAGAATTTGAAGCAGACGTTTCAACTATCTCACATGTGATTTTTACTCATTGCAAACACACACTTTATTTAGGATTCAATATATGCCTGACTATTTTGTGTGGTTGTTGCTGGGATAAATTACTAATCCCTATACACTTAATTATTTAAGATTTATATATATATTATACTACTGAATATTTGTTAAATACTTGAATATACTTAAATAAGTGTTTGTACACTTGCACATGTATGTAAGTACAGCTGATCACCCCGTTATAGACAAATCTTCATCTCAGATTTTGACATTTTTTAGTGTTTCCAATGTCAGATTTTTTCAAAATATGTTAAATTTTAAGATATTGTTTTACATAAATAAGCGCTACCATCGACTTATTTTCTAGTTATTTTAATTGTTATGTGGAATTTTACATGCCAAAGTATTGATTATTTTTTGTGAAATGTATGTCTACATCTCCTAAAAGTGCATGGATGTGATGAAGTTTAATAATAATGTTATTGAATTTCAATTATAAAATTGGTTTGATAATTAGTTTGGCTTAATGAATATATCTTAAAAACGACAATAAAAGTAAAAAAATTGTATTTATCTGATGAAATAAATTACTTCAAATTTATATTTTCTGTAAAAAAACTTTGTTAAAGTCATTTGAATGATTTTTACATAGAAATTTCACAAGTCAAGTGTATATCCCATAACACGGAGATATTTAAGTGGCTCAATTAATTAACATCCAGTTTAAACCAGAAGCTCTTTTGTGCACATCTTCAGTTTAAAAAATTGATGAAGATTAACACAAAGCTTTTCATTTTTCACTTTGTCATCATTTCAGAGCTTTTTTTTATTTCAGTTTATTTTAGCACTTTATTCATTAGTTCTTCGTCATTTCTTAATTTTATAAATTATTTTTTTGAATGATTATTTGTTTTTTTTTTGAATGGTGTTTCAATGCTTTATGCTTCATTTTTTATATTTTAAAGAAATGGTATGTAAATAGTACAAAAATAAGCTCGTTGATTTTTATTCAAATTTGTTTTTAGCCGATCCAGTGAATGAATGTATCATTATTTTTTGGATGGATGTCTTTGCACTTATAGTTTCTTAGTTGCTCTGATTTTATAATATTTTCGTATAAACGTCATAATGAACAAATGAACAGATATTTTTTGCGAATATTATGCGTAGTACAGTAGACTTGTTTATCGCTGATCATTTGATATTTCAACAATTAATGGGCACACCCGTGTACACTTAGGTTCATTTATTAAATTGTTTATTGTCTAATTAATTGTTCAAATAATAATTTCATAGCCACTTAGTGTAAAGGTTTAATTTCTTAATGGCACAGAGTTAAATAACAATATTTCTTAAAATTCTTTCAATAATTTGTCTCAACCACAGCAATCCAACGGTAGCAAAGTGAACGCCATCTACTCAACTCCATCCTGTTACTTGTATGCTCTCAACAAGGCCAACCTCACGTACACTTCCAAGAAGGATGATTTCTTCCCATATGCACATAGGAGCCACACATTTTGGACTGGATATTTCACCAGCAGATCAAATTTGAAGGGCTATGAAAGAACCGCCAACAATATTTTGCAAGTTAGTCATTATTGCATTTGTGTAGTTGATGAGTCACAATTGATAAATTTTTATTTAAACAATTTTTGTTTAGTCTAAACACTTTAACCAATTAAGAGTTTTTGTTTCATAAGAATGGAATGTTTAATTTTATTGAGTTTTGTTGTGGTTATTTATAATGTATAACTTTTTTTAACTATTTAATGTTCAAGGTGTGCAAGCAACTGTCTGCACTGGCACAACTTGATGACGAACACTCCTCCCAGTTCAAGATGAACTTTCTAAGTAATGTTGCTTTTTTTGTAATATCAACGTAATATAATCATTACATCAACATAGTATCTACGTAGTATCAACGTAATATCATCACATCAACACAGTATCTACATAATATCAATGTAATATCAATTCGATTTATATCAGTACATTTATCATTATCTGGTTTTTCAAATCTTATTGGATTTTTTGAGATGTTTTTCTATTAATTTTTAGAGATCTCACATTTTTTTTATATTTTTAAAATCATTATAAAATTAATCGATTTTGTTTTTATGTCATGTTTATAAACTTTTTTTTATTCTTTACAATAATCACATTGTTGGCAAGGACAACAGAATTGTTCAATGTGCAAGGATGAATATAAAATTGTTTAAAAAAGGATAATTCAAAAATTAAAAAAATGAAAATAATTAGAAGTAAAGAAAATGCACTTTGAGAAATAAAAAAATGATTATATATATATAAATATTTTTCATCAATAATATGTATATATGTATATATATATATATAAATTATAATACATAGCAATATATGTATATATATACATATATATATATTGCTATATATTATAATTTTTTAAAATCTCAAATTTTTTCATATTTTTAAATCTTATGCTCCTGAGCCCAGTGGTTTAGAGCTTTCACTTTTTTCATTACAAGTTTTTTTTTATAATGGATAAGTTACAAGTTATTCGTGCAAAAATGCATATCTAATTATTATTCACTATTTAGCTTGCTTGCCAATCTCCGGTTCATTGAGTTGAGTCCAAATGAGATTTGATAGCACCACTCTGTTTATGCATCGTAAGCCTTCTAGTCAGTGAGGTAGTAGTAATCCCGATATATGAGTCATGTTGACGTGCACAGCCGTCAAAGGGGCAATTAAATTCATATATTACGTGATTACGCTTTAACTTAGAGTTATCTCTAGGACTGCAGTTGTTTTTCAGTATTAGGTGAGATGTCTTTTTATTGTTGTTATAAATTCGGAGTTTAACTTTACTATCTGGGTTGGTTGGTGTGACATTTTTATTGATGATTTTTATCATATATATCACTGACTAGGATGCATAAACAGAGTGGTGCTATCAAATCTCATTTGGACTCAACACACTCAATCACAATAAGCCGTGAAATCCTCGACAGCAACACCAAAGTAATATATCAGAACAGCAACTACACGCATCTTAAAATTGCAGAAGCAGTTCTAATCGACATCAATAAACCAAAAATAAATATACAACAAAAAAATGACAACCTCACTTCCAACCCGGCGCTTAACCAACAACGAAAACAAAGAAGTAATAAAAACTAGCATCGTAAATAGTGACAAAGAAGAATATGATGCTATCGATGAAGAAAAGGAGACCAAAGAAGATGACCAGCCAATTAAGAAACCTGACACCTAATTCGTATCAAAGTTCAATTTTACAACACCAAAGTTAATTTTTACAACGTCAAAGTTGACAAAGTCAATATTTCCCTATATATACAGCAAGGAGCACTGAAGATGATTCATTCGGAATCGAAATATGGCCTTATTTGCAGCATGAATTCGAAAAATAAGTTTATTTTGAATTTTAATAAACTAAACGTTCACCAAAAAACTTTAGTGAGAAAAATCGAAAAAACGAACTACAAACATATTAACGCCAAACATTAGGTAGAATTTATAGAATATTGTAAAGATTATGGTCTATTACCAACATATATATATACATATATATATATATTGCTATTATAGTACATAGCAATATATATATATACATATATATATATTGCTATGTATTATAATTTTTTAAAATCTCAAATTTTTTCATATTTTTAAATCTTATGCTCCTGAGCCCAGTGGTTTAGAGCTTTCACTTTTTCCATTACAAGTTTTTTTATAATGGATAAGTTACAAGTTATTCGTGCAAAAATGCATATCTAATTATTATTCACTATTTAGCTTGCTTGCCAATCTCCGGTTCATACTTTCAATTTGATACAGTTCATTTTTTTATTCACTAAAATGAAGTTTCTTTTGTAAGCAGCATCAGCAGTCATAATTATAATACGAGTAATTGTGTAATTGTTTTATGCACTTCATCTCTAATTGTAAATCATATAGTAGTAGAATAAATATAATAGTTCTACGCAGATGTCTGTACGATGATTGCTGTGTTATATTAATTGTAACATTGCAACAGAACAGTCCATGGGAGTTCTGCAGCATCACGACGCAGTCACGTCAGTACTTCTACTTCTGCTTATTATTATATTTTCAAGATAATTATTCCATGTTAGGCCTGCTGTTTCACTTCCCTTACATTAAGTATAAGTATTTTTACGTCACAGTGGCACATCCAAGCAATACGTGGCTTACAATTATGCCAAGATGCTATCTACTGGAATCAAGGAATGTCAGGTTTGTTACTTCTCATTCCAATGCTCCAATTTATCCCACCATTCCCGTCCATCTTTTTAAAACTCGTTAATAAACTGTTTGAACTTTTGAACACAGGATGTCATGAAAGTGTCGATATCCAAACTCATGAACAAGTCAGTCATGGATCCAATTGAAGATTTCCAGTTTTGTAATCTGATGAATGTTTCCAGCTGTAAATTTACTGAGACCAACCAAAATGTTGGATTTCTTCAAACCTTTTTTATTAATTTTCATTAAATAGTTTTAACGTGTTTTATTTTTTTAGCTTTTAGTAAACACTTTGTGTTGATTTGTAATTTATTTTTTCAACAATATTTAATTTCACGAAAAATATATTAGAGAACTATTTGTTTCTTTTTTTTCACTTAATCCTAAAAAATCTTAATTTTGACAATTTTTTTTAAAATCTTAAGTTTGCAGTAGTGGTGTACAACCCATTCAGTCAGATGGTTGGACAGTATATAAAGCTTCCGGTTACTTCAAACCAGTTAACAGTTTTTGATGATAAGCTCATGAAGTTGGATGTTCAGGTAGTGTATGATCAAATAGGAAAAGTGTTCAAGTTGAAATTTGATTAATGATTAACAATTTAATGTTTGACTGAAGTTTGTTCCTGTCAGTTCTGAGACAAAGAAGCTGGCAGAGTTTCAGGGGAGCGCTTCACAGTTTGAACTCGTGTTTCCAGTTCAAGTGCCTCCTCTTGGATATGCTACTTATTTCGTCAATAAATCAAAAAGTTAAATATGGTTTTTATTAATGATATCATCATTGTTCTTGATTATTACTGATTATAGAGACATTTTTTTGGTATTAAAGAGGTTTTTTATTCTTCCAATAATTCTTTGATTGATGTTGCATGTTGCATATGTTGCATGCTTTCTTTCTGTGAAACAAATCTTACTTCTTAGTTTTTTTTCCTGGACTCCTCCCATCCCGTAACCATTCTAACCTTTTGCAGCTTGCTGTCATCATACAACCTAAATACATTTAAGGGAGTTATTTCCTTTCTAGCTTTCTGAATTGTCAATTTAGGTTTGTTTAAAGGTTAAAGGTTACTCTCTCTCTCTTGCCTTTGCTTCAGAGGTTTCAACAACAAACACAGCGTATGTGAATACGCGTGCAAACCACGCATCATACACATTGCATATGATAGGCGGGGATCTCTTAAGATATATTGTTAAGTAACTTGATCATTATTTCTTGATATTTGATACATTTGCAGCTTTTCATTTCTTGCAATCGGTAGCAATATTTTGTAATATCAAATAACCAGCAAACTGATAACGGATCAGCTACTGATTTTTTTAATTTAATGACTTGGGTAAATATTGTCAGCTTAGATAGTTAATTTCTTCTAGAGCTCTTCATTTTAAACAAACATAATTTTTGAAACGATAGCTACAGAGTATTTAATTGTGTAATCGTTAATCGATCTCAGAAGCAATGGATACTCTTGAATCAAAATCACGATCAGATGGCGGCCACATCGAGGGGGAAAGTGGAAGTGGTCAACTTGATGCCAATACATTGGAGAATGAAGTTAGTCATTTTCTGTTGGAAAAATATTATTTGTTGTATCGTCACTATTATTATTTTTAGCATTTTTACGTTTTGCTGATTCATTAGAACGTGATTTATTGTGTTTGGATTTGTCATAAATTTTTTGAAAACGTAATTTTTTTTAATTCGTTGTATTTATAGAAATTATTAATTTTAGTTTTGTTTTAGAGAACGTAAATTTTTGAACTTTAATTTTTTTTTAAATTTTAGCATTGTTAAACTTTTCTGCAGACATCAAATTTATTGATCAATCAAATAATATAATTACTTACTTAATTACAGTACTTGAAACTGACCTTTGATAATAAGACCGGCTTGCTATCATCAATTATGAACAAGGAGCGTAAACTTGAGATAAATGCAGTGCAGTCTTTGAAGTACTACTTGTCCATGGCAGGTGACAATTGGAATGGCAGCAGGCAGGCATCTGGTGCATACATCTTCAGACCAGATGGTGATGTCCAAGATTTTAGCAAATTTGGCAAGACTAAGCTCACCATTTTTAATGTTTGTTGTCAATCATTATTCACATTTAATGTACTTCCATATGATGTTAGTTATTAATTTGACTGAATTGTTAATTTTCATGATGATGGTTTGTTTTTTATAATGCTGTTTATATTGAACAAAGTTTTTAATGACAAATTAGCTATCATATTGTTTCATATTAACAGGGTAATCTGGTCAGTGAGGCACGTCAGGTTTTTAGTGATTGGGCATCACAGGTTAGTTGATTGATTGATTGATTGTTTAATTGATCTTTTCATTGATTGATTGATTGAACTAATAGGTTATCAGGTTGTATAAGGGAGCAAACCATTTTGAAATTGAATGGACAGTTGGACCAATCCCTGATAAGTATGCTGCCTTAGAATTCTTAATAAATGCGTTGTTGATGTGAATTTCTTTGTAGACGAACGTTTTATGAATGTCCAAGAGATAAGAGATAAATATTGTTTTACGTCGACAGTGACAGGGTAGGCAAGGAAGTGATATCATCATTTGAGACGTCTATCAAGAGCGAGGACGTTTTCTACACTGATGCCAATGGAAGAGAAATGTTGAAGAGAGTGTAAGTACACGTTACTTGAGTTTCAACTTTCATTTCAATTCGTCTTAACTGATTTTTCTTAAGGACCACTTTCTGTTTTCATGTTATATATACTCATTCATATTTTATTTTATATACCATTGTCTACGTTTCTCTACCTTTTCTGATACCGTCATATCAACTTTATTTTCTTTTTCTTAATTAGTTAAATTATTATGGTTTTATTCTAGTTAAAAATGTGATATAAATAATTATATACATATATGGGTAGGCGCATAATTGTTTAATGTTTTCAAAATAAAATTTTACCCGTTTTGATCAATATTTTGCATAATTCACGTGTGTGCGTGAATTTCGACAATTCAGTCGAAATTACCGACCGACATGGAACTTTGAAAACACGGAGCCGGTATCAGGCAACTACTTCCCCGTCAACAGCAGGATATATATTCAGGTTGGATACGTATTTTAGTGAACATTATTTCACTAACTTTTTTTAAAATAAGTGAGACTGATAATGAATGAAACATGATGGAGCCAGTTCGACTTGAGAACTACAATGTACAGTATACATATTGTTTACAATACCGGAATAGGACCCAAGCAAGAACATTCAGCTGACAGTCCTTAACGATCGGTCGCAAGGTGGAGCCAGCCTGAAGGAAGGACATTTGGAACTCATGGTTTGCCGTTTTCATTGCTGCATGTTTTTTAAATAACTAAATTTGTTTTTTGATTGTTGAAAATTCTTTGTTTGTTGTTGATGGTTTCAACACCAACTTACTGGAAACGTGTTCTTTTGACTTGAGTAAATCTTGCCATGCAGTAATTTATGATTTCTGAAATAAAAGGTTTCAAACCTTTACTATCATTCAGTAAAAGGAAATTCTGAATTACACGTTATCTTCTTATTTTTGAGGAGGCAAACATTCTTCTCGTTGTATTCATTCTATCTTAAATATTACGGGGAATTTTTTTTAACGTGCTTTTATGCAAATATAGCCTAAGGAACATAAGTTGAAAGAACAAAATTATCATGAAATTGTATGTAATTAAAGTCACCTTCATAAAAACTGACAAAACTGTTTGCTTGAATGTGTAAGCAAACGGCCAAGTTATTTGTTGAAACAGCTTATTGCCAAGTCAGAAGCTTATTTAATACTGACTTCATTTTGCTGCCTTACTGGTGTCATATTTATAAATTTTGATAGATGGAAGGTTAAAGCTTAATTTGTTTCTCGATGATTCGAGTAAAAGGTTTTTCAAACAAACAACACGCACAGCAACTCGTTTAAAAAAACGCGCACATACACGTGACTTCTGTTCAGGTGCACAGAAGAACCTTTTATGATGATGCTCTTGGAGTTGACGAACCACTTAACGAGCCTGGCATCGATGGCAAAGGGATTGCTTCCAGGGGTGAGCTATACTTATTATCTTGAAAAACATTACATTTATTGGACGTTTATCTTTGTACCGATTAGGACAATGAGATGATACTGACATCTCGATTCACCAATCAATAAAATAAAAAAAAAAGAATATAAAAAAAATTTCCAGCACTGTTTAGTAATAACAACTGTTGAGGCATCCGGAATAAGATTGTGTTAGGATGTTGAATTTGTACAGACACATTTTTACCAAAACGGTGTAAAAAGGTTTTTTTTGTTTTAATTAGCTTAAATCTTCTGAATACACAGGTCTTCATTACGTTTTGTTAGACACCATTGACTCATCTGTAGCACTGCACAGATCGATGGCGCAGCAGATATACATGGCACCCTATCTATCCTTTCTCGATCTCAAAAAAATATCTCCGGAACAGTTTGTGAAGGAACATAACACCAATGTCAGTTTCGTTATTATTATGCGATTATATATATATATATATATATATATATATATATATATACATATATATATATATATTTCAATTAAAATTTGCAATCATTTTATTTAATTTTAATTTGCATTACTTTGGGTCAAATAGTTCAAAACCAGATTGATGACAGTTGATACAATTTTAGTTGAAACGAATATTCGCTTTTTGTAAAAAATGCATTTTGGCTTTCAACAGAATTCTCACCCAAGCACCCAAGCAGAATTCTCAACTAAAATTTGTGTCATCTCTATCATTACCAGCCTTATTCAAGGTTGAAAAAGTTCTGGGTTCGCATTAGTGCGAATGCACAAAAAGCAGCAACATAAAATTATCATAAATAAAAGTAGTATTGAAAGCATTAGGATTTAATTGTTACTCTTATTAAATTTGAACATGCAGTGGAGTGGATTGAAGAAGAGAGTGAACGAAAATGTTCATATATTGACACTGGAGGACTGGAATCAAGGAGGAGATGTTCTCTTGAGACTGGAACATTATTATGAAAAAGATGAACACAGTGATCTCTCCAAACCTGCTGTCATATCTCTTAAGGTTTTTTTTGTTTTTTTTTGGCTTCTCATCTTTCTTTTGGTATAGCGTTAACTAACACACACACATGCAATGCACAAACATATATTAATATATATTTGTGTTTATATATTGGGTGTGATAAGCAGATATATTTGCAATCAAACCAAGTCTCTACAAGAGCAACACCAGGTGCCTTAACCGTTACACCGCCGCCCGGTATATATGCATGTGGTGTATGTTATTAATTTATTCGCTCACTCATGACCAGCACACCATCGTGTCAAATAACGTTCGATGAAGTATAAATTATCCTAAGATAGCTTAATTATTTTTAGATGAAGCCATAAAGTAGATGTGATAGTTCACTATATGCTTCAATTTATTAAGGGCTGCTTGATAAAGTTCTTTGATAACGATTGAATAATTTTAAACAGGTCAATCAATTGTTCTGATATATGATAATTTAAGATGTCTCAAGATATAAGCTATTTATAGGCTTATTCAAACTGAACACTTGTTGATATCATATCAACTTGTAGATAATATATTTATAAGTATGTGGTTTATTTGCGAACTAGAAATTAAATCATCACAATCGTTATTTTGGCATATATAGGCCGACTATGTTATTTAGTTTTTATCGACTGCTTTAACAGAAGATAATTTATTTCAAGTTTAATTTCTCACTACAATTTCTTTATTGGCGTGACTGACTGCATAGCTCCTCCGTTTTTTATTTTTTTTAATTCGACATATTTTTTCTCGATTGACAATATACATTTTCTTATTTTATACTAGCTTTTCAATTAATCTTTTTTGAATTTTTTGATAGCTATATAATTTTACTTAAAAAAATGAAAATTTCTGAAACACTTATGTGGCCCTGCTGAGACTAGGTAGCATTGTCTGTCATCTTCCTCTTTGTGAAATGGCGCTATAAAAATCTACTCGATCGATTAATCTAAAAAAAATCTATGCAATATAAAAATCCATTTGGTCAATTGACCTTCAAAACTTCATTTGATAAAACGCTCTAGAAACTTTATTTGATAAATTACCTTATATAAATATCGCTTGAGAAATTGCTCGCTGATAATTCATTCATTGAACAATTTATAGTATTTTGTTTGGAATGAATTTTGTTGCATAATTCCTGCAGCTCATGTGAATGAAAAAAGTTTCAAGTTATGCAATGCATTCACTTTGCATTAAACTCAAAAGTTTTCTAAGTAATGCAATGCATAACCTTGGCATTTAACTATCCCAGGACCTCTTTGCTCCACTGAACATTGTTTCATTCGAGGAAAGAACACTAGGAGCCAACCAGATGTTGCAGAATGTTCAGAGGTTGCAATGGAATGTCCAAGGGTATGGCAGAACTAAAAGTGGTTAGTTATGTAGTCTTATCAAGTCATTTTACAGATGTCAGTAGTAAAATGCTTTCAACTTGATACTAAACATTTATTCAAACTTCAAAAAACAAATCTGAATGAATCCAGTTTTGAATATTTAAGGATATTGAGAAACAAAATAAATTGAATAAAACAAAATTTCAATATTTAAGCTCGATTGTATTTGTCATGAAATTTTACAATTTTCGTTTTTCATAATGATGTTTTTGATTACAATTCTTTTAACGTTAATTTTTAAGTATCGTGCAGCTTATGTTTTTTTATTCAATCACACAGACATGAGTTCCTTCTTCACTCCGGTGGACCCAAAAACTTGGAACGTCGAACTGAAGCCTATGCAGATCCGAACATTCTTATTGAAGCTATCCAGATAATTTCCTTATCTCCTGACAATCACGGTTGACCTGCGCTTGATATATTTCTTACGATTTTTTTCTCAATAGAAAATAATTTTTTACTTATGTAGTATTTAAAAAAAACTAAATATATTTTTTTATTTTTGCGATTATCTGGTTAAACAAACTGTTTCACGTTAAAGTTGATTGACCAATATCAAAACTGACAAAAAATTGTTGAAAATTTATGTATTAACATTTTTTACACGTTTCAATAATTTAAATTTTATGTATACCTTCCAACAATTTGTTACTTGAATAAATTATTGAAATAAATTTGTGCATCAACAAAAAACTACCGTTTTTCAAATGTTTTAGTTAATTTAAAAGTAGATTTAGAACGCAGTTTTAAAATTAGGTTATCTTATCAAAATCATCGCTTCTTACGACCTTTTCCAGCTTTTTTGTTCGACTTTTGCTTGCCAGCCGAAGATTTTCTTCCCTTTGATTTTGATTCATGTTTCATTTTTCTGTTATCTTTCTTCATCCTTGGATCGACAACCTTGAAATGACCTTTCACCCCTGCTGGTCTGCTAACTCGCTTGCCAACCCCTCTTTTTGCGACCACATAGGTGACATCTTTCTTCTTTTGAGCCTTTAATAGACCCGCTTTTTTATATATCCTGTAAAGGATGAATATGTCGTTAGTGTTTTCTGTTACAAATAATGGTATGAAAATTTATACAATGCTATGTACAAAGCCTGAGCTGTAGGAACCAAGGTTACCGATGTACAATGAGTTTCTGTGAATTTGTCATAAGTTTTATTGCAGAAGGACCCTAAACACTTACTCTTTAGCTTGCTTCATTTTCTCTTTCTCTGGGAGGTCTTCTCCAATATTTTCCGTTCTCTTCCTAGCTTTCTCAAGTCGCTTGACAAGCTGTCCAGTGAATAATGTACATGGTTAAAATTGAAATCTTCTACAATTGCTCAAGCAATTAAACAACTTCATAATGACAAACAGAACCTTATGCTTCTGGCGAGCTCTGGCCTCAGCTATTTTCTTAATGGGATTTGCATCTATGGCTTTCTGCTTTTCTTTGTAATACTGGATTTGTTCCTAGTTGAAATGCGAATAAAATTAAGTATTATTTAAACTAATAAAAATTAACTCTAACAAATTTTCAAAAAAGAGAATAGAACAGTTTTTAATTTAATGATAAATGAGCCAGCTACATCCAAAATACTAGGATAATTAATTAGCTACCTTTGTGACAGGCAACTGTTTCTTTGAATGTTTCATTTCATCATGCAGAAACCAATCAGGAGCACTATCTTCACCGTAAGCATATCTTCAAAAATATTTTTCAGAAAATTTATTCAATTTCTTTGGAATATTATAAAAGATTAATATATTAGATTAATATATAGATTAATAAATAAGCATGGTAACACAGGTAAAATATAAAAAAATTTAAATGTAAGCTTGATGAAATTTAAAAATCGGAAACGCAACCACCTGTTATATGAAAGTTCCACAAGCTCCCTTCTCCTTTTCTTTGATTTGACGATTTCTTCACCAATTGCCAACTCCAATGGATTCAACTTCACTATCTTCCTTTCTGTTCGTTTCATACATAATATTGTATTTATATAAAGTTTGACATATCTCAAACCATTTTATAATGTCGACAAATAACGGAGTTTTCGATTACATTTTAACAACAGTCCAACAAAGAGCTGTGAAATATAAACTAAAAATGTAATTGAAAATATATCAAACAAAAACGTCTTAGTTGTTCTGGGCTTGAACAATTTTGAGAAAAATCATGGTCAAAAAAGAAAGAGACTCTAAAAACAATAAAAAATAAAAATCTAAGGTGACTGGTGGAGAAATGAAGTAACTTTCTTTTTCACAAAATTTTTTGGACAAAAAATACCAAAACATAAAATATTTACTACTTTTGTTGTTGCTGCTAGCTTTATGATCGCCTTCAACTTTATCCTCCTCCTCATCATCATCACTGTCATGTCTGTTGAGCTTGTTCCACGCCTCGCCCTCATCATCATACAGAGCGACATCCTCTTTATCAAACTTTATTCGCCGTGCTGGTTCGGGGGCGTCATCTTCATCATCATCGTCGTCGTCGTCGTCAGGTTCAACATCGTCACACTTGAAAGCTATGCCTGCGTCCTTCCAAATAGCAATTATTGATTTCACAAATAAATAACATTTCAAAGAATAAGTAGTTTAGTGTATAAATTTGAATAATTTTTTTGAGAAGATTTCATTATAGAAACAAAATGAAAAAATACAGCTGAATAGTTTACTTTTTTGACAGAATTGAAGCTGAAGAGATCAATATCATCTGTTGCTTGGATGCTATCACCTGGGATGACCATTTGCAGCGCCATCTTTTCTCGGAGCTTTCGCTTTTCATTCATCACCTTCTTATGCTTTCTGAGCATGAGAACAAGGCATACATGCAGATGGCCATTAATATATAACCGAAATGTATTCAACCATGACAATGGAAAATTAAATAAAACATCTCTGTAAACATAACCAGCAGACAAAGCAATCTAAATAGCATGTACACAAAGACAAGTTCTTAAGGACAAATCAAAAATATGCACAAAACCGATTTTATAAAGTTAAATTAAAACCAAAATCAAAGAAACACTAAATTCAAACTTTTTTTTATCTTTTAATAATCGAGCCCGTCTTTCTGATAGTTCCTTTTCTTCTTGTTCAATAACTTCTTCAATTGAATCATTATCTGAGTCTGCATCTTTGTTTGCTTCATCATTTTCCATCTCAACTCCTTCAATAGTTTCTTCCTGGTCATTTTCAACATCCATCCTGTCACGAGTAATTGAACTATAGTCATCAATAAAATCCTATAACTCTTTTCAGTTAACCATACTTTTCGTTGTCATTGGCCATGATATTCAACTGAGGCAGACTTTTGTTCAGACACTTCCTCCAACTCAACAAATTCCTTTAAAACGAATTTGAGATCATCAAGTTAACTTCAACGAAATGGTTGATAATACATACAACAAAATATGAAACTTACTTTAAATCTTTTTTTCCAAGAACTTGAATGTCTTTGCAACATTCCTTAATTTCATCTGTCGTCGATGGATGGCTAATGATGCTTTCATCATCTAGGACTATCTAAATGAGAGAATGCAACAAGAAATTCAAAGATGTCAGCATTAAAATTAGATTGAATGTTATTTAGATGAATATAATTATATAATTAGCAAACAACTTTTTCAAGCATTAAAAGTATTTTTATTTACGCTTCAAAATTGCTAAAGAACACAAAATTTTAAAAACTCTAAAAATCACAAAACATTTAAACAAATTAAAGTTCAAAGTAATTGGAAATAGAGTGAAATTAGTAAAATTGAAAAAAGCAAATAATAGTACTTCTGTGCAATGTTTAAACAACTCAAGAAAATTTGCATCTGTGATGAATTTTACTGCACTGAGTTTGTGCATTTGCAAATAATTATTTTCATCATATCCTTCTGCCTTCCTTTAAAAAAAGCAATAAATTTGTAAAAATTTATCATTCCATTTCAGCAAAATTATGAAATTCAACAAAAAATTATATAAAAAATCTGCTAACTTGGAAATTTTATCTGGATGAACAAGATTTAAAGTTGGTCTGACACTATTTTCTTGTTCAACATCTTTGAAGACGTGCTTAGAATCTAAAAATTTTGGATCAATAACATCAGGAGCCAAGTAGCCCTGGCAGACAACAAAAATTTCGGCTGATTCATTTCGAGAGGCCAGGGGTTTTGTTGCGTGAACCTTCTTGAACATTTGTTGTAAGACCCACAACAAGCTGAAATAGTCTTTAGATCTAAAAACCTTTGTTATGAAATATCCACCCTTAACTAAGAAGAATGTTGCCAGATGCAGTGCTTTCAATGTCAACTCAGCTGAAATGATAATGATAGTTAATGTTGAAATGAAAATTCTTGTAATCATTCGCCAAGATGGTTGAAGGATAAAATAATCTGAGGAGACTAAAGATTTCTAATCTCAGATGACTGTGAAGCATAGCTGAATATATTTCACTGGAGACAGTATAAATTATAAGCTAATTTACTATGCAAATCGTACACAAGTTGTTAGAGCTTTTGACTGATGAGATTTTAAATTTAATTTCAATTTTATTTGTAGTTCAAGCATGAGAGTGAACCTTGCTGGTAAGCATCGTGGACCCAATTCTTTCCAACGTTGGGAGCACCATCATGCAACACCAGATCAGCTTTCTGATCAGGTAGCAACTTTCTCAAGCTCTGTAAATATAAGAAAGTTTGTAAAAATGGTTACAATCTAATAAGCAGTAAAAAATATATATCTGTTACCTGTCTGCACTTGTCAGTTGTTATATCCTCTTTGAGTGTTATCACTCCATTTATTGGTTTAATTGCAACTAAATCCACACCTGAAAGCAAAAAGAACTCAATAAGAACACATTCTGCCATGTTTTAACACAATTCAAAAATGCATGAAAAATAACACTCTAAGTTAATGAAAAGCTTCAAAAGTATTCAATTTGTGCGATGCAATTAAATGAATTTTCACTAAAGACCATTGCCTGACCTTACTCAACTAAATATTTGTAACATGTTTCTGCTAAAAATCTTCTTTAATGGTTGTAATTTTTGTTTATCTATAAATATCTGAATGTGTGCAGTGATTAAGCCTTTTACAAAATGTTTCAGCTATTTTCAGCACCAATTAAGTTTACATATTTTACAGCTAGATAACTCAACTATTTTGTAGTAGAAAATTTTTTCAAAAATCATCTAATACTAAACATACAAAAAACGAACAGACCAATAATAAGGCTGGAGACGGGCATGTACTGTTGCGCAACTTGCAACCAGCCACCAGGGGCTGCACAAAGATCTATGCATATCGAGGACTTTTGAAGAAATTCAAACTTTCTGTTCAGTTGCAATAATTTAAAGGATGCTCTCGAACGATATCCTGTATTTGAAAAATTTATAATTTATTAAAATAAAAAAGTTGAGAATAAAAATAGTTAAAAATAAGAAATAAAAAAAAAAATTTATTTAAGTTTAAACAATCATCATAACATTATATTATATATTATAATAATCAACAATATGATTATAAATTAAATTATAAATATAATCAATTAATAAAAAAATAAATAAATATAACCAGTCTCTTTAGCTAGTTGATAGAACTTATCTCTTCTTGCTTTTCCAACTTTTACTTTACCCATTTTATTTTAGTATCTGAATGAAAAATTACTGAAAATGTTTAATCAATTATTTATATTTATATTACTTTATAAAATATATTACTTCTATCTCTATATTTTACTTTTATTTTTCAGTTTCTCTCTTGGAATTCAAGTTTTTAAATAAAGAGTTTACTAATTCCAACCAAAAGATCAAACAAATTTTTTTATACAAATTTCATTCAACGATGTTTCGGCCAAAATTCGACTTTTATTTAAAAACTGCATTGACTTTATTAAATCAAAACCTAAAAAACGACAGCAACACGTGGTTGAGATGAAAACAAAAATAAAATGATATAAAGTTGTCAACGAATGCAATTATTATTTTATCAATATAATTCCTTTTGTAGAAAGCCAATGTTACACCATCAAAGATAGATTCCGATAACTTAACGGCACATGTACGCCAGAAATATCTGTATTATTCTTATAATAAAGTTATAAAATCAAAATTGCGTATTTATGTCTGTTGATGCTGTAAACAGTGATTCGCTTCACAATTTCATTTGTATACTCTTGTAAGTTAATTTGTATCGAATAACTTCAAATTTTATAGCTTCAATTATGATTTTCAATATATACATCGTTTCACAGTTTTTTTATTTTGTATGTTTCTTTCATACAAACACGCCAATAACACATGTAACATCCACGAGACATTCCCTATGTAAGGCTTCTTTCCATACATGTTTTCTCTGTCGTAAAATCTGTCCTATGGGGTCTCTTGTGACTATCAACATTCACATATTGAAATGAAATTTTGAAAAGTTTGTTTTGGTTTAAGTGTCTTTAAGAGTTTGTGTATCTCTTGCTTATATGTGATGTATTTTGTCAAATAACATAAATCATCAATAAACAACAAAATCCATCTAGTGAAATAAAATAAAATAATTTAATAAATTTACTTTTTCAGTGCATTTTGGTAACATTAGATAAACTGTTTTTTAGTTTGTATTTTATACTTATATGTATTTTCCAGTAAACGAATATAATAAATATATATTATATATTATAATTAACTTTTCTAAAATTTACAACAGCATCTTTATCCATATATATATAGAATATAACATGTATTATAATGTAAATATATAACATGTTAGTTCTATCTAAACATATGCTTATATCCATCTATTCATCCATCCTTTTTGGATTAATACATAGATGGCATTCCATACGAAACCCATGGATGAATGTTTGTTTCATGAATATGTGTAGCACCAGCACCAGCGTTTGTTTGTAGCTTCTTCTACTTCATCTTCTTTGTGTCGTCCAGTGGTCCTGCTGCAGTTATCCATCGTCACCGTCGTATCATCATGGAGAGCTATGTTTGTTCGTTTCGGGATCGCGATGCTTCCACCTAATTCTTAACTAAATAGCTACACAAAATTAACTTTTTTTGTTGTTAAATTAGATTAGAATATTAGATAGAGATTATTAAATGTTTTATTTTTGTGTTTTATTGAAATGTTCCATTAGTTTCACCATTACATTCCTATTCCTATTATATTCCTATTCTTATTAATTATTTATAATATATATTTATAATTTTTTATAGTAATTAAAATTTAATTAAATTAATAAATTTTCATAGAAATTTATTGAAGTGATCATAATGTTAATGTATTGTATATATATATATATATATATATATATATATATATATATATATATATATATATATATATATATATAATATACTATGATATATAATATATGTTGTAAGGCATCATTAAATAATAAAAGCGAGTGCGTGCGATTGAAATGATGGTTACAGTGCGTTGTGGTGTATACTCAATCTTTCATCTGTATACACTTAAACAGTATCATTGATCTTTTAAACTTCAATTCAAATGCTCAGGATACAGAGTGATTGTTTATTAAATTTTATTCATTGTAATTGTAAGGCAGGCACCTTGCTTTGTCTGATTATATTTTCATATTTTTTATGCTTATTTTTAATAAGCAAGAATTTGATTATAAGTCTAATTTTATTGTTCGTTTTATGTTTATTATTAATAGAATTAATATAATTATTTTTAGTAATTTTTATTTTCCACATAAAAAAATTGGTATTGAATAAGTTGATAAATAAATAACTTAATAAATAACAAAAACAAAAAGGGTGAGTTGATCTTAATAATCTTTTACTAACTTAAATAAAATTAATTTTTCTAATCATTCATAATAAATTATTGTTTTTATTTTTTTATTTAAAATATTTTATATAAAAATTGAAACTTAGTTATTTATCCAATATATTAAATTAAACTTTAAAGAAACTAACAAAAGAAAATAATAATACTTAATTTGTTCTACACTTTTATTAATTTGTCTATGTCATATTCATATAAATTTGTTTTTAAATGTAATTAATTAATGAAGTCTTTTAATAAGTCTTTTAATATTTATTTAATTATTTCTGTTGTGTATATGTTTGAAATTAGTTTGGTTGATGTGAATCATCACTGATTGACTGAGCCAGCCAGCCAGCCAGCACTAACATGTTTTTTGCTTCAACATCTTTGTGATCCTGTGCAACATTCATCTATTCACATATATTATATTATATTGTTCATTAGTTCATCTTATCAGCAGAGTGAGAAAGTGATTTATTATTTGTTGTGATAGATGCTTGATGGATTTGTTCATATGGATGTTCTTTTTTATGTTTGTTTTTATACTATTAGAATTGGATAAAATGTGTTTTCAGGTTTGCTTTTTCAATATTATATAATTGTTTCAATTTTTGAATTTCAGCATTGTCTATGTAAGTACTTTTCTAAAGTGAATGAAGTTTGGAATTAAGTGATAAGCACAGCAATGCTTCCAACTATTAGTTGTCAATTCTACTAAATTATCAAAATGTTGATTTATTTAAATATTTTAGAAAAAAGTTTTAATGATTTTCAATCCAAAAACTTTTCATAGTGATTAAACTAGTAGTTATATTTTTCTTCAAAAACTTCAAATTGTATAAATCTATGCTAATAAAACTAGACTTTTTTTAGTTTGAGCCACAACACACACCACAATTTGTTATAGTTATAGTAAAAAATAGTTTATGTTTGAAAATCATTTAAAATGTTTTTAAATTTAAACTTTCTTAAAACTTTTTTTCACTTTGAAAGGTTTCAAAATTTTGATCTTTACTCATCTTTTTCAAAATTTTTATGATTTCTCTTGTTAAATTAATGTATTAACTTGAATGAGACAGCATACCTTAACATGAAGAAGACAGTATCACTTAACACAACACACACACCACAGATAGGGCATCTTTCTCAAGACATCACAAAATAACAGAGCTCAAAGCATAAAAACAATGTACAATGAATCTTCTAGATAATACAACAGCAATTATACAAATCTATGTGCTGGCCTTACCTGATAAAGTTCAATTTATTTAATTAAATTTTCGTCTTTTCACTGATAAGTGCCACCCCATGCTGTTGTTGTTCTTCATGTTTTTTCCAGAGTAATGAAGTGATGTACACAATTATTTTTATCATCCATCAAACAACAGCAAATTGGATTTTTTATGTTTTGTTTTGTAGAGTTTAGTTATTAATGTAAAGCTTTTTTTAGTGTTAGTAGGAGACTTTTGTTCAAAATAATATCACAATTTTGTTGTTTGATTGGGAAATATTGTTGGTTAGATTAAATATTGCACCTCACCAATGTTTTTAAATTCAAGTTAGTATTACCCGTCAAGTAAAATGAGTTTTCTTCAAAATTTTGTTTATGTTTCATCAAAGATGGCAACAAAAAATATGAAAACTGTCTCTGGTGTCATATGTTGTCTATCATGATTTTTTGATGTACACTGCTTCAATGTTTTCATGCAGTTTATATACTTCAATGTCAAGTGGTTAAATTTTTCAATAAAATTTTGTTTAATTTAATGTTATTGGGTGATTTGATATTTTTATTTGATGGCAACAATTGTCAACAATGAGGAAACAATGTTGAAGTTTGACTTCTTACTCAGACAAATTCAACTCTCAAATTAATTAACACTCACAATAATTTACTTAGAATAATAATCATGTGTATATATTTACAATGTAAATTTTACACGCATTGAATTGAATGATTGAAAGTATATTGTGTATGTACTACATGTATGTGATCCTGTTTGCTTAGCTCTACCCATCATACAGTGCATGTAGTATATTCACATGTCATGTGTACATTATTTCTTATGTTGATTCATTCTTTTGAACACTCATCATGCTCAAATCTTCTGCTCAGAAAAGTATTCCATAGTTCAGATTAGTGTCATTGTCATATTTTAATTACACTGTCACCATTAACTTGTAATTTGTTCCTTTTTAATTAAATTATTTAGATTTTTTACAAAATGCAAGTACTTTTGCCAACCTACTGCTGTCTATGGCTTTTTTTATTTTTTCATATATATTGCAGTGTTGATTCAGTTTTAAATCATATGATATGATTCTGAATATGATGAATATAGCAATGGAACAAAATTGGAACTCTGATAACATCTTACCTTTCTGCTAGTGTTGACTCATCTTAATACTTCATTGTTTACCTGCTACCTGCAATGATAACGTGCTGGTGATCTTATTTTTTTATTTCATTCTTGCTCTTTCAAATCCACACAACTTTGTTGGCGTTAATAAAAAATTTTGCTATGTTCATTTTAAATTTCATTTTACAGTTATTCACAGTCAAAATTTGATTTACTTTCTACTCTCAAAAGAGAAAATTAAAACATTAATCAAAAGTAAATGTATAAGATTTGGCTCTTTATTTTAATACTTTGTCATTTGATATCTTATCTACATAGTTATGTTGATATTTGTTAAAATTTTTTTTACATGATCATATCATGAATTGAGTGAGATATCTATAAATACATGGTTGAATAGCGCCATATTCTGAGTGTTACATCTTCAAATACCTTGTCATGAATACCTTGTGGCGTCAATTGTGACGTCAATTGGCGTCAT